GACTCCGAATTCGATGATCTTGGGCTCGTTTTGAATCTATGGAAAAGCCCAAGGTCCTCACATAGAGAACCACCCAAGATCAACAATAAATAATGATGCAAGTAATGCAAAGGTTTGAGCTCTCTACATGCGACATGATCAAGCTACTTGCCCGAGAGTCCCTCTTGATAGTACGGCTATCAAACCTATAATCCGGTCTCCCTCCAAGCACCATGAGACTGGCAAAACTCGGAAAACCTAGCTAAGGTATACCTTTGCCTTGCATATTCAACTTGAGCTTGGTGATGACTCCAATGCTTGTCTCAAGTTGGAATCCCTTTCTTGTCCACAACCACTTGGTGAAGATGCTTGAATTGATTCCTCATATTGCAATGAGGGAAGCCTTAACTTAAGCCCATCTTCACATGAGCATTATCATGATGTGGACCGCAAGCTTCAAAGCATATAACCTCCGGCTTCTCATCTTGCACTTGGACTCCTCGAACCCGATGACCATCACCACTTGATGTCATCCACACATAGGCTACTTGAGATCTTTCCTTTTGATGCAAGCCCATGAGAAACACCTAACCCACATAGACATACCAAACACATAGCATGGGTTAGGTAACAAAGCACAATTCACAATTACTTACCATACCACTAGATCACTTGATCTCACGTGGTACAATGTTTGTGCTTTGAGAGTTGACCACTTAGATATAATCTTCGAGCTTCATCTTGGTTAACCAACATCTTTACTCGAAGCTCCATCTTGGTTTCTTGAAAGCCACAATGAACTCTTCATTTCCCTTCATTGCTTCAAGACTATATCACCAAAGACTCTTCCATGACCATATCAAGTTCCACTATGAATATCATCTTGGTCACCACTTGCCCTTCTAAAACTCCATCACAATCTCTTGAGAGGCATAATGAATTCGTCACTCTAGTTGCTTGCATCAAGACTTGATCAACCGAAACCCAACACATGAGCTCACCATGATCTTGTCTTGAGACCATAACTTGAATTCTTCTCTTTGATTATTCTCTCAAGCCCTTGATCCTTAAAAGCCCTCCATCATAATATCTTGAGAGGCGCAATGAATTCTCCACTCTAGTTGTTTGCTTCAAGACTTGATCAACCTAAACCCAACACATGAGCTCATCATGATCTTGTCTTGAAACCATAACTTGAATTCTTCTCTTTGATTACTCTCTCAAGCCTTGATCCTCAGAAACCCAAATATATCAATCTTTGAGATCCTCCAATGCACTCCATCATGAACATAATTAGATTAGGCATTGAAACCAATCTTGATGGCTTCAATAGAAGTACCCGAAGACCAACTTGAAACCTCACTGGATATGGGATCTCGAGAGCCAACACCTAGGCCCCGTGAGCACGGGTATCCAAAGAGTTGACACTCGACCCCGTGCGCACGGTACAAGCCCGTGTGCACAGGGTATCTAGAGAAGGATACCATGAGGACTTCTTCGGATGCTTTGATGGCAGACTTCACAAAACAATCCAATGCACTTCAAGCATCACTATGGAACATATCTTCATATAAGATTCAATGCACTTGATGCTCCATAGGAATTGTCATTTAATATCAAAGCATAGGGCAAATATATCTTCATATATATGGACTTCATCCTTGATTCCGTCCAATATCCTTGAGGCACTATCTTCATATATATATGGACTTCATCCTTGATTCTGTCCAATATCGTTGAGGCACTATCTTCATATATATGGACTTCATCCTTGATTCCGTCCAATATTCTTGAGGCACTATCTATGGACAAAACCTTCAAATATATATCTCACTGAAAACATTAGTCCATAGAGATTGTCATTTAATTACCAAAACCACACTTAGGGGCTACATGCCCTTTCACACGCGTTGTCACTTGCATGGGCCCGAGCACTAGTGCAGGTGCTGGCGTTGGCACGTGCATGTCAGCGGGGACCTTGTGGATCCCACCGGCTTTAAGCTGGGCGATGATGTGCAGCGCCCAACCCATCAAATCTACGGGGCTGGGAGCTAGCACAGGGCAAGGACAGTCGCGGCGACTTGGGCCCTGCAAAAATTCTCCCATAGCTCCTTATGTTCGTGTAGCTCCTCCGGCTCGTTGTCTTCCTCAGGAAATTGAAAGACTAGGGGCACCTCATCCTGCTGCGCCATGGCTTGCCACGCAGTTGTCTGGTTGATTGGGGCAAGGCGGGCAAGAGGGGAATCGAAAGGGAGGGGGGGTCGAAAGAGGATTTTAGCGAAAGCGACTACAGCGGCTCGAGCCGACTCGCTTGCTTACGGCTGCCTGCTCCATGGCACCCACCCGTCTCCGCGAGACTTCATCGTGGCGCTGTCCCCATGTCTCACCAAGCTCAATGTTCACCTCCCGATTCCACCATTTAAGTTTTGATTATCTATGAATTTTTGAACCCATTGGTTGAACTGAGTGTAAATTAATGCATTTTGTTAGAAATAGAAGATGGGGAAATATATATTTATCGAGGAATCAAAAGTGATTCGGTGTATAAAAATCATCTTGCATGTACTACCTCCATTCTAAAATATAAAGAGTCAATTACACCGGTGGTGCTAGAACTTGACGCAAACGGTCACTTTGATGCTACAACTTGTGGTGTACATCAAAGTGATGCAAAAACTTGATTCGAGCGTGCAAATACGGTCTAATCGCTTTTGTATACGACCGCGACGCTGAGGAGGTGTGCTGGCGTGGCACGCGGCCCGCTGTCATTGACCCAACAATGAAGACGCCGGTGTGTGTGCTCTTTTTTCAAAAACTGCCTCATTTTTTATTTTATTTTCATGCAAAAGCACTTGATAAGAAGGCCTCGAACCTGCAACAACTAGCTAAACTTGTGCGCAGCCAGCCAACTGATCGAATGTCGCCGGTTGTCACTTGAGGATACACACGCCTTTTATCCATTAGTCAAACAAGATAAATTAATATTTGAATTGGAGAATAGAGATGCAGCACCTGAGATGCTATTCCATGGCTCCTTTGATTCAAAGGAATTCCATGGAATTTTTGGAGGGTTGGAATCCTTAGGATTTTTTTCTACATTTGTCGTTTGATTCACATGATTGAATCCTATAGGATTTTTTCCTATGGAATCAAGTGTACTATTTCATTGGAAATCTAGCATCCACGCCAACCTTTTTCTTCAATTCCTTTGTTTTTTCTGTAGCATCAAACACTCTATGCTAATCCTACAAGATTCAAGTGGACATGCCACTCAAATCCTGTATTTTCCCTATTCCCGCGTTTTGAAAATCCTGCAAATCAAAGAGGGCCTAAATAAAGGATTGTCACTCTTTATGTCTACAACAGAGTGACCGACAGAAGTTAGTGCGGCTCATTGACAACATGTTAGGTTTTCATTTTTCGTTTTGTGAAGTTTGTAAAAGGATTTAAATAATAACTATAAATAATAAATAATATACATATAATTGTAAATGTGTATTGGAGCAATTGCAGTCTGATGGCATACTACGGTCATATTTATTTTTTCATACATATATTGTTTTAAAATGTATAATTACATTTTAAAAAACAAAAACTTTATTGGAGGAATTGCAGTCTGATGAACACTTTTAAAACGTACTATTTTTATGGTATGGAAACTTTGATATGCTATAGTCATTCCAAGGGATGAATATTTTATTGAAAACATGAAAAAGGTTGAATTTATTGAAAAATAAATATATAGAGAAATCGATTTAAATTCTTAATTAATATGAAAATAGTTTTTAAAATTAGTTAATATTTTTATATTTCATAATTTATTTTTTGGATTTTTTATGAATTTAATAGGTAAACATCTTATGAAATTATATGAAAATTTTAAGAATGTAACTTAATTTATTTATATGGATATTACTTAAAATTGTAATTCAAATGTTTTGTGTAATTTCTAAAACCTAACATGTGGAAAATGGCTGCACTAACTGAAGTCCGTTTTAGCCTATGAGCACGTTCTGCTATAGACATAATGCGTGACAATTTATTGTAATCATGTAACTACAATTGTTGGTGTGGAAGCTCTGCTCGTTTGTTAACCTAAGGTTGCATGTGCGAATTTCAGCAGCTGCATACTTAAAAAAAATTCTAAATTTATGTTGTCTAACTGAAAATATATAAAAATGTTTTTGCTCTATGCTGGAACGACGACCTTGATGAGGTGGTTAGCTGCACGCGCAGGGTACTACAGGTCGACGGCTTGAATGCCCACATCCCCGTTTTCGTCGGTGGCTTTTTGTGGAAGAAATACAAAAATCAAAGTGTTTTTTGTCGGGGGCTTTTCTATGAAAAACATTAAAAACCCGAGGTGATTTTCACAAAAAAGCATTATACTGTCAGTGACAACAGGTCCCACGCCACGCTGACATGCCTCGTCAACGTCGTTGCCGTACACAAATGTGATTAGCACCGTATTTGCACGTTCGAGCCAATTTTTTACACCACTTTAATGTACACCACAAGTTATAGCACTAAAATGACCGTTTACGCCAAGTTCTAACATCACCGGTGTAATTGACTCAAATATAAACTAGCCTACCAAAACGTCTTGTATTTTGAAGTGGAGGTAGTAACTTGTTTATTAACCAATGAAAACAAAAGGTATGGGGTAGTGAGTAATACCTAACAATTTATGCTTTTGTTGGCCCGCCCATTCGTTCAAGCTCCGACACTGGTCTGGAGTAGCTGCATACAACCACAAAAACTACATGGCCAGCCCGTCCACACGCATAATCGCCTATTTCACTTGCAAAACTTTCAAGTACAAGTTTCAAAACGAATGCGGCTACCGTTGGATTCTCTAACGCACCACTTGTGAACGTGAGGCTGATACCCGGACACGCCGTAGCCGCCAAACCGACGGCTCAAACTCAGCCGCTCACGTCCACCCGTGCGCCGCCGAATGCCGAACACAAAACCCCACCCACCCACGCACGCACCGCGCCGGCGTCGGCATCGGCATCGGCATGAAGAGCTCTGCGGACGACGTGGACATCGAGCTGGTCAAGGCGGTGGCGCAGGCGTGGTACGCGCACTCGGGCAACCCGCGGCCGTCACGAGCGCCGGCGGACGACGACGACGGCGCCGGTATGGGCGCGCGCCGCGCGGGCGCCCCGCGCTACAGGCCGTCGCGGTTCAAGCTGGAGGCCGCCGCGGCGGCGGCGGCGGCCAAGCCGCCGAACAGCAGGCCGTGGGACTTCACGCAGTCGCTGTGGGACACCTACGAGCTGGTCACCGTGGCGCAGAAGATCGAGTCCAGCCTCGCGATCGTGGACGAGGCCACGGCCAGGCCAGCAAGGCGTGCCTTCACCAACGAAGACGCCACGCGCGGCGGAGGAGGGAAGCGGGCGAGGGAGAGCAGGCGTAGCCTCAGGAGCCTGTTCCGCCGGTCCTCGTCCAGGAGGTTCGAGGAATCAAGCAGCTAGCTGCCTAGTGTTCTCCTCTCTGTCTGTTTCTCTCCTCTAGTCCTTCCTTGCCTCAAAGACTTGGGCAGCGTCTATGCAACTTATTACATTGTCAACCACAGCATACTTCCATGCATTTAGGAAGAGAAAACACAGTCAGATAGAAATACATATATAGCGAATGAAGCATATAATCCAGAATCACATCGCCAATCAGAGTTCAAGCACGATAATAATGAGTGATGTGTCTGCGGTCCATCAGTCCAGTCAGGAACGACGACAAGCAAAAGAAAATGCAAGTCCAAAATCCAGGTAACTTGGGTGATCGCACCCTACGTCCTAATAGCACCACAGGAATGGCATAACAAATGTCTTGCCGGTAAATGAAAGGAAATTTGGTACGAGGTGCCGACACCTCATTTGCATTGCAAACCTCAGCTTCTCACATCTCCAGTAGCGGAGAGCCGATTGCAGCGACGGAAGGAGCATCTGATGCAAGTGTGATGTGGCCTGTCGATTCGGCCTGCCCGGCGCCGGCAGGAGATCCAGCATTGCCGTCCATGTTGGCAGCATCAGTTGCTGGGACGCCCACCGCAGTTGCAGAATAGGCGACAAGATAGAAGTGCATGGCATTCTGATCATCACCTGCTGGGTAGCCAGTATAGTAGGGGACGCCATTCTGATCATAACCTGCAGGGTAGCCAGGATAGACTGTATAGTAGGGGATGGCGTTCTGATCATAACTGGCAACTGGGTAGCCAGCATGTCCACTAGCTTGCACATCTTGATACCCCGCCATGGGATTAGTGTATGCGTAAGGCATGCCATAAGCTTGAGTTGTTTGAGCAGGGAGATTGTTAAATGCACTTCCATATGCAGCTTGAGCTTGTGCCGTCCCAGATTGACCTGCTGCTACTTGCACCAGTCCTGCAGCAGTTTGTTTCAAGAATTAGGTACACACTCATAATAACAAGAATCATGCTGCTGAGAGTAACACATGAAAAGGGGAACTGCTCACAAGAGGCGCTCACTGAATCAATTGCCAATATTAACAATAGACATTTCTATTAATTCATTTTTACTCATCATACATACTTCCTCAGAATTTCCCCAAGGAACTGCATTTCTTGCTAGAAGTTGGTCTATGGAATGCCATGACTACATGAGCAATAGCAGTAGCACCCAAACATCCCATTAGGGCACAATAACAACGGCACAACACTATGTGTGACTTGTGTCAAAAAAGGGACTGACATGGTGCATTCATCCGCGTCTACCTCCAGAATATTAAGGGGGGGGTGCAAAAGTAAAGGTATGCTGGACCATGTCCAAAGAAAGAAGCATGTACCAGGACTTGTCGTTTATTAATTTAGCAAGGCCCAATGGTTTCCCTGTTGAGTTTTTATCAAGATTTGTGGGAGGTTATGAAACAAGACTTGAAAAGGCTTTTTTACAAATTTCACAAAGTAGAGTTGGATGTTGAAAGGCTTAATCAAGGAATCATTGCATTGATTCCTGCTATGTGACTACATCTACTCCTTTCTTGTCACACAGCACATGTGCCATCCGTATTGCACGTGACCCTATGAAGCATGAGCTCACCAAACATATCGGTGCAGATGCTTCCTTTGTGCACTCCCGTGTGCAGGATCGGATGATTGCTCTTCAGTATGTGCCTTCCGAGTTATAGTTGCTGGATTTCTTCACAAAGGCCCAGACTAGAGCACATCAGGGCTTTTACCTCTCCAAATTCAGTGTTGTTGATTCACCATGAGTTTGAGAGGCGAGGAGGAGGGGGTGTTGTATGAGGGGCTTTCAGCATATTGTACCATGTGTGTACATGTATATATAATGGCCTATGACCTCATGGAGATACAGGCTGCTATTCTCTAACAATCCAAACCTTAAACCGAGCAGGGAAAAATACCTTGTGCTCTCATGTCAGCATTTTGCATCTCCGCACGTAACTTGTCAACCTGTTCGGTCATGGCTATGAGGCTTATTTCCATTGTTTTCATCTGCTCAGCTTGCTTGGTATTCATGTCCTGATTATGCTCAAATTCAGATCTTTTGCAGAAGTAAAACAGATATCGAGTTAGCAACAACCCCGTATGCTACAAATAAAGTTGGTATGGGAAGCAACGAAGTGAGGGAGTGTGAGATCACAAACCGTATGTACTGATACTCTTTCTGCAACTCCTCTAGCTCAGAACGCAGTTCAGGGAATCTTTGGTTGACTTCACTCTGCTTTAACTTGTTAGTCAGCTTCTGTAATTTAATAGTTAATTCCCGGTTTTTCAGCACGGAGTTTCTCAACCCCAAGATGCACTTTGTTAGGTACCCGATCTAGTTTCCCTTACAATTCGATTACAGCCACAAGAGGGCAGTGATTCACTCTCTGGATACAACTTGCCGAAAGAAAAAGGAAGAAGAAAGTAAGTGCTCGTGCCGTTGCCGCTGCCGTGATCCAAGCCGGGATGCCCCTCCTCCGATATTCTGCGCTTAAGTAGTGTTGTCCCAGTCCGGGCCCACGAACCTGCAGTTGGTGTGGCGAATCCTTGTTGGCCTGGCGATGACGCGTCCTTGGCCTTGATTCGTCCACTTGTCTGCCAGTGTGGCCCGATCGGCTGCCATGGCAGTGCCTTTGCCTTTCATTGCCATGGCAGCTGTTTCGCTGCCCGTCTCGCCCTCTGCATATTGGACGCTGACATCCCCTTCTCCTTGACTTGCGGCTTGCCTCCAATCCGGCAGATGAGGGAAACGAGACTGTAAGGCAATGGCATCCTCCCAAGTAGCGTCCACCTCCTCGGAGTCTGACCAACCGTACCAGGACCTGCTCTCGGCGCCATCTTGTTTGCAAGATCTCCACCGGAATGAGATCAGCCTTAGGCGGCACTGGCAGAGACGAAGAAGCTGTTGTACCTGGAGACAGAGCTTGTCGTAGCTGAGAGACATGACAAACGGGGTGAACTTGCGGTGGTAGTGCGAGCTCATAAGCGATCGGGTTGATGGCTCGCAATACTTGGAATGGTCCAAAGTATTTAAACGACAACTTGTGGTTGGCTCTGCGGTGGACTGAAGACTGTACATACGGCTGGAGCTTGATGTAAACCTCGTCGCCAGGTTGAAATGATCGGTCAGTGCGTTTCTTATCTACTTGCACCTTCATGATGTGGCGAGCTCGATGTAGGTGCTGCTTAAGGACTTGCTGCATGGTTCTTCTTTCCATCAGCCATTCCTTCAGAGCAGGATCTTACAAGCAGATGCAGCCTCAATGCCCAATGCCTCGGCTCATGGCCATACAGAGCATGGAACAGCGACATGTCTAGGGCAGAGTGGTAGCTCAAATTATACCAGAACTCAGCCAGCGCCAGAAATTGACTCCAGTGATTTGGACAGGCATGAATGAAGCAGCGAAAATAGATCTCCTAGCATTGATTGACACATTCTGTCTGACCGTCCGTCTGCGGATGATACGGTGTGCTCATGTTCAACTCTGTCCCAATGATTTTGAACAATTCCTACCAGAATCTGCTGGTAAACACTGGGTCTCGATCTGAGATAATTGCCTTAGGGAGACCATGCAGCTTGTAAACATTGTCCGAATAAGCTCGAGCGACCTTGGCTGCTGTGAAAGGATGATTCGGTGGCATAAAATGAGCATACCGTGTGAACTTGTCCACAACGACGAGGATACAGTTGGCCCTGTTGGATTGCGGGAGGCCATCAATGAAGTCCATAGTAACAATCTCCCAAGCTCCTTCCGACAATGGAATTGGTTCTAATAGACCAGGGTATTTGACTCGCTCCGGCTTGGCTTGCTGACAGACGGCACAAGTGCGCACATACTGGCGAATAGTGTCCTTCATTTTGGGCCAGGCAAAAAGGCGGCGGATGCGATGATAGGTGACCGGAAATCCGGAGTGCCCACCCATGGTGCTGTCATGGAAGGCGCGCAGAATACACTGTTGTAGTGTTGGCGACCCACCGAGCCATAATCTGTGGCGGAAGTACAGCAAGCCCTCTTAGACAGAAAACCTCTGTTTTGCATCGGGTCGCTTGGAAAATTCAGTGAGCGGTTTCTTAGATTGGTCATTCTCTGCATAGCTGGCATGGATGTCCTCCACCCAAGTAGGTTGGCACACTGACATGGCCATGGCTTGGTTTAAAGTGTGTAAGTGGCCGGAGAGCGCGTCAGCGGCGCTGTTGGCAGCCTTGGCGATAACTGATTTTGTATCGCAGACCCAGCAACTTAGTGAAAGCTTTCTGTTGCCACACCGTGGACAGCCGTTGATCATTGTGACGGATGAGACTGCGTTGATCCGTGCGAATCAGGAACTCCTCATGATGGAGATAGGGGCGCCATTGCTCTACGGCTATCAGTATAGCCAGACACTCTTTCTCGTAAGTGGAGAGACCCTTGTGCTTTGGCCCCAAATGGGATGCCCCCCTTGTTGTAGCACATCGCCCACTCCATAGTCACAAGCATCGGTATCAATCACAGATTGTTTGGAGAAATTCGGCAGCTGCAAGACAGGTGCTGAAATGAGACCTTGCTGTAACAGAGTGAAAGCTTTCAGCGTGTCCTCCGTCCAAACAAAAGGTTGGTGTTTCTTCAGCAGATTGAACAGTGGTCTTGCGATGATGCCAAAGTGCTTGACAAATTTCCGGTAATATCCCGCAAGACCCAAGAAGATGCGCACCTCTTTGGCAGATGTTGGCACCGGCCAGTTTCTGACGGAATCAATTTTACTTCGATCAGTCGACACCCCATCAGCATTGATCACATGCCCTAAATAAGCATTTGTTGTTGACCAAAAGAGCTTTTGGACTGTTTCACTTGCCAGCCATCTTCGTGTAGGAGCTGTAACACTTGCTTGAGGTGAGATACATGATTCGACAGTGTCTGGCTGAAGACCAAAATGTCATCGAAAAAGACCAGCACACAAACACGCAGCAATGGATGCAATGTGGTTGTCATGGCTCCATTAAAAATGGTCGGTCCGCCTGCTAGTCCAAAG